GCCTCTTTCCTGCCCAACTAACCAAGTTCTGCTGTGAAATCATAATTCCTACTCAGCTCCTGCTTTGAGGACATCACCTGTGTAGAACTGGTTTCCCTCTCTCAATCAGAGAATTATAGGGCTGGAAGGGACCTTGGAGGCCTCCTATTCCAATTGCAGGTAGTCCTCAACTTACGCACCGCAACCGAGCCCCAACATTTCTGTCAATCAGTGAGACAATCATTGCATGAGTTTCCTCCTGTTTGATGGCTTTGTTTGCCCCAATTAAGTTCACGGCCATTGTCGAGTAAGTAGCACGGTTGTTAAGTGAATCAGACTGACTTGGCTCGTCAGAAGGTCACAAAAGGGGATCACGTGGCCCCCTAAGACATTGCAACTGTCAAAGGTACGAGTCAGTTGCCAGTTTTGATCACGTGACTATGGAGATGCTGCAACGGTTGTAAGCGTGAATCACGGCCATATAAGTCACTTTTTTTTCCAGTGCCGTTGAATGGTCACTAAACGAACTGTTGTAAATCAAGGACTATCTGTGTACCATCCTGGATGAATCTTTTCTTGAAAACCTTTTCTTGATGGCGCACCCACGATAATTCCCATTACTCCTCCTTATTTCCGGATCATTGGATCTCCCTCTGATGAATTCCTGCCAGTCTTGCCTCTACCTGCTCCAACAACCTCCCAGTTACTTCCTTGCACTGGTCCCCAGTTTCCCGTTTTGAAAAACCCCATATTCCCATGCCGGAGGAAGCCGGATCCTGCCTGCTCTGGATTGCAGAAATTCACCCCACTGGCTTCAATTGACCTCAAAGCGATGATGCAACTTTTTCCTTGCAGGGAGGGCCACCGGGAAACAAGCGGTATGCCAAAGCCGCACCCCACTTCAGCTGCCTCTCCACTTCTGTTCATTCAACCCTATCTTCTCAGGCTTAAGGGCTAGAAACTTGTTTTTAATTTAAATCAACGCCAGCAGCTTTCTCTCTGGGTCATGTACTTTGAGGAAACCTTTCCTCCGTTAGCCCAGGAAAGGTGACAGATCAGGGTTACACCACACAACCGTGTTTTCCAGGCAAGAAAAACCCCAGGTTCGAAAGATCACATCCTCCCAACGAATGAAGAAGGAATGCTAGGAGAACATTATCTTAACTTAGCACGAGAGAAAAGCTGCCCAGAAACTCCCGGACACTGGAGGCTCAGATTTAGAAAAACACCCGCCTTGTTTTTATCGTCGCTTTGTAGGAGGAGGATCCTACACTAGGGGTCTCCAACCTTGGCAACTTTACGACTTGTGGACTTCAATTCCCAGGCTGAGGAATTCTGGGAATTGAAGTCCGCAAGTCGTAAAGTTGCCAAGGTTGGAGACCCCCCCCCCCCGGATCTACCCAATGGTTCTCTCCTTGCGGTTGCACTAACCTGTCGCAGGTTGTTGAAAATATCCAGGTCCCGCTGTCCATGGTCGAAGAGAATCACCAGATGTTGAGCGGCCAGCAGGTTCCCCTGAGCTACAGCAATGTGGAGCGGCCTATGAGAGAGAGAGAGGGGGCAAAGGGCGTTTTCAGTGAGCCTCCCCACCTCTTTTTAAGCCTTTCGCCTGGCGGGTGGGGTCCTCGATGCTCTCTGAGCTGGGTGGTTTTCCTGCAGACGTCTCATCACCCACCTAGGGAACATGATCAGTGCTACAAAAGGAGCGGGGTTTGCTCTGTTTCAATACTAGTGGCTTGCCCTGTTAGTGTTAGTGAAGGTGGCGCCTTGATTAGGTGATAGATAGGAGACAGATTAGACAAACGAGATAGATGATAGATAGATAGATAGATAGATAGATAGATAGATAGATAGATAGAT